ATACCATTTATGACCTATTATGCTAACTGTGGAATGTGTACATGGATCCAGTGTCAACATTGAATGTTTTTCAAAATAGTGGTGCAGTAAAGGAGAGGGAAGGATCTCATTCTGCTGTCACTGGGTGGATTTGTAATGTTATTGAAGAAAGGCCAAAATGTACCCGTGTAAGGCATTCCGATAAAACTGGAGACAGCCTAACTCAATAGAGTTATAAACTACCATACAAATTATGGTGGCATCTACTTCTCATTTGCTTTGTTACATTAATCATTTCAATATATTGGAGTTAATCCATCTGCTCACAATTTATTTCTTTGTAACGAGATCCTATTTCACTTTTTATGGCTCACTCTGTCTAATCTTATTAGTATACTTTTCATGGTGAATTTTAATCATTTTTCATCATACCTTGGTCTTGAAGGAAAATGGACATAAACTGACTAAACAGAGTTGAAACGACTTTATGAGGAATTCATCTCTTTCTCTTTTTGAAATAATACAATTGGTTTCAGAAGATAATTTCATTGTGACCTGATTAAAATGAGATAGCACGGTACACTCGCAAATGAATATAGCAAAAATATTACAATTCCTCTAATCTTCAAATATGACTGGCATGTGAGACTTCTTGTAGACTTTAGTTGCCAGATTCTACTGAGGCTTGGCATGACTTTCCCTTTAGATGGACCACCATCACTTTGAAGTTGCATATAGATTTTTTGCCTTAGAGAAGTGAATGTTATATAAGGTAACTACAGAGTATATGTTTCATGTGTGATATACACATATTTTTTCTGTTTCATTTTTTTTTCAGATTGTACTTGTAGATATTCAGCCTTGCCATCAATGAATGCTAATAATAGTTGGCAATAGTCTGAATTAGAGAGAATGGCATGGCAGGCACACAAAAACACTTTTTAACTCTTTTGGATTGAATAGTGTACATGTATGAATGAACACGTGTGTGTATATTTTTAATGGCTGTCTTACAGAAAAATAAGGCCAAAGGTAGCATATAAATATGTATTTGGGTGAGCAAATTGTTTAAGTGCATTCTCATGGTACCTTCTTTAAATGATGCTACTAAGCTTGATGAATACAGAAGTTGCACTGGATACATCCCAAGGAACTCATGTCATTCAGAGAATACATAGCTTCAGAGCAGTATTATGAAGACTGTTGGCACCAAAATGAGTACATCTGAATATTTCCCATTTTAAATTACATGTTAGAAAATGTGGTTTTAATTATGTCAGCATATCGTTATTAAGCACCCAAAATATATTGGCACGCTTCTGCATACCATAGTTTCTCTGGATAACATGATCCCATTATTTCACTTAGAAATTGGACTCAGATAAATACTGACTGTGGAAACATGATATTGAAATGTAAACCACTTTAATATATTGAACTGTGTCACTGTTATGGGTGGATGGATGGAAAGCTAGGCAGCTCGCTTGACAGGCAACAGATAGAGACCATCATTTACCAGAACCTCATCTCAAAAATTATTTCATGTATCTTTATGTATAACTAGCTAAATAGCAGAGGCACTAAGAAATTTTGTTACTGAATTGTGAGAGTGAGTATTAGGACACCAGCAAGAATATCTGATGTACATTCGGATGAATGAACATCTGTGCAGATGTGCATTGGTGTGTGATTTGCATTGAACACTTTGCCAGCTCTGCTACATAGAAAGATACAGCAGCCTTCTAGTGTAGTAAGGTGAAGCTTTTCCTGTGAAATTAAGTCCAGTCATGTCCGACTCTGGAGGTTGGTGCTCATCTCCATTTCTAAGCTGAAGAGCTGGCGTTGTCCATAGACACTTCCAAGGTCATGTGGCTGGCATAACTACATGGAGTGCCTTTACCTTCCTGCCAGAGTGGTACGTACTGATCTACTCACATTTACATTTTTTCGAACTGCTCGGTTAGCAGAAGCTGGGGCTAACAGCGGGAGCTCACACAGCTCCTTGGATTCAAACCTGTGACCTTTCGATCATCAAATTCAGCAGCTCAGCGGTTTAACCTACTGCGTCACTGGGGGCTCCGTGCCTTCTACCGCATATGGATGTTACAAAACTGGCCAGTTCTAATTTCTACCTAAGTCTAATTATGAAGATGTAATACCCATACAGGATTCTGGCCATTGTTGATGGAGAATGCTAGAGGAGTTCTGTTGTTTTTTCTAGTTGAACAAGTGTTGGCTTTCTTGTTCTTGTGGTTCCCAGGCACAAACTCCATCAGAGGTATTCCTTTGGCATAATCTAGAATTAGGTGTCCAGAAGTGTAACATGTTTGTTCTAGTGGAATGATGCCATTAGAAATTGACCAACATGGCCAGATATCCTTCTTCCATATATCCATGAATATGGCTTTTAAAGACATTTAAGTTATGATTCTTCTCAATCCTTATTAAATTAGCTTGTTCACCTTCAAGTAATTTCTCACATATCACAGTCCTTCAGCAAACATTCCATGGGATTTTCCTGACAACATTTGTTCAGCGAGAGTTTCCATTGCTTTCCTGAGAGAGTGTGATTTGCTCAAGGTCGCCCAGTGGGATTCCATGACTGAGTGGGGATGTAGACCCTGGTTTCCAGAGCTCTAATCCAACACACTGGCTTTCTTCAATAGATTACATGGATTTGATCTAATACGACCTGGCTAAAAGAATTTATAATAATCTAATTGAGAGTATTCCTTTTTAAAAATTACCTTTTAAAACCTTTTATGACAGTCAGTCTACAAAATGCTTTAATGTGGAATCATCGAGGGGAAACCTTTGGGGAAACCTTTAAAGTGTTTGGTCTTTTCGAGCACTGCCAATGTGATTCAGATTTCAATTTTATATCCATTTACCTATGAATAAAACCAGTGGACAAAGCAGAGTTTATTTCTGAGAAGATACAGCTATGAATACACTGTAAGTGAGCCCAAATCCTACTATGTCCGTTTAACTAGATGCTCGTTTCCTGTCCTATATCAACCCCTCTGAGTTATGACCATATAATCACACTATGTCAGCCTAGCTTTCTTTGAAATCAGTCCAGACATTTTAATGGTAGTCCTTCTGCCTGCCTACCTTTTAAAAATGAAAGTGTCTAGAAAAAGATAATCTTTCCTTTGCTTGCCTCTCATCCTTGCAGTGACTCATATGTTTGACAGTCTTGAAGGTTTTGTCAACTTTCATCTTGGGATAAAGCATTAGCGATGTTACAGTACTTGTAAGGAACTTGACCTACCCACACACTCTTAATAAAATCCTTAGGGTAACAGAATATGAAGCTAAAGTGAATGTGAATGTCTGACCTTTGGCCCATCCATTTTACAAGAAAATATTAAAACTGCCTTTGATCATAATGCATAGGCTCCCCTTTGCACATTGCATACTTCCTGCCCAAGACTTCTGTAAGAGATTAGGAGTTATATATTCCTTTAAATATAACTTTTGTAATTTTTTAAACCAGCTGAGCTGAAAACTTCTTGATAAATATGCTCTTAATCAACCCATGAAGCAGTTGAAAGCAAAGATTATTGTACATTAGCTCAACATCTGAAATGTTCAAAAGCAACAAGAAAATCCTTGTATAGTTTTCTCATGACACCTTGTTGACAACAGTCGCAGTTTGTTCAGGAATTTAGAATTTCCCCATGAAGACTTTTCCAAACATGAATAAAACCTTTGATGGGAGTGTTGGCGGTGCTGTTCTAGTCTTGACCGAATTCTGGGCTTATGGGTTACTCAGAGTCCCCCAATCTTTATCACAAAAAATAGCTAAATGTAACTGCTAATCTAGGCAGAATGGACCTAGATAGAGTAAACACATTGATTAATGGAACCTACATATTTTTGTAGTATTTTTATTATAAGTTTCCAATAAAACAAATAAAACTTACCAATGATCTGGGCAGTTCTACACAGACACTAAATTCAAGTTAGTAAGCAAATTAAACCTAACCAATTCCACTGTGGAGCACTTACACAAAACCCCAGGAACTAGTTTGAGGCCACAATATCTTCTGACTATGCATCAGAAATTTTTCATATAATTATACAGAGATTTTTTTAAAAAAAAACAAACTCAGGACTTATTCCATTTGGAGCAACAACACAAGATAATGCTGGAACAGAAAATCCTTGTAGAAGTTCTATTCCATAATTCAAAATTATCTACATTCCTTCACAGATATTCTTTTTTGCTAAAGTGAAAATTTCAAAATCATTTGTCTCTTCTCTAAAAGGCTACTCTTCTTCTGCTGCTTGATATCATTTCTGTATATAGTTTCAGTAGATTTATTTGTTTTGTCTGGAATAGTTCTAGTCCATTAGTTAATATGTTTCAAAAGTACAATGACAGGACTGTTTGCTCCATGTTTATCTACAACAATAATTCGTTTGATACCATCCTACAAAATCCGTAGATTTGCATTCATGACCTTATCATATGGGGAGCCCCCCCCTCCCCCGTGCACACAGCAATGCTTCCCTCATCACATGAGTATAAGTAATTTTTATATAAGCAAATATATTATTATAAATATGTACTGCAAACACATTTGCTAACAATTACAATCAAATGAGACATACTTAGTTTTGCTTGCAAATGATTGCAACATTTACATTTTCTAAATCATTACAGTTACAAAACCAGTTGTGCCATTTCTTCATGGTTTTTCTTGTTTGGTTTTGATTACAAATACAGATATAGTTCCAAACATAATTGCAAATTCATATATCTCAGTTAATATATATCAAACTTTTCAAAATTTTCTTTTGTAATCACATGGGGGAAGTGTTGCCTGACTGGCACAGAAGTGTGCTGGCTCCATTAGGATATAGGGCAGTGTAAATCTGTCCTGACTCTAACAAATGGGTGTTGAATGGGACAAACTAGAAGAGAAGAACCCATCCTTGTATTGTAATTCAGATATCACACAACTGAGTTATTTCCATACATTAACCAACCATGTGTTCATATTTTAATTCAGGATTGTGGTTTGATAATCCATCCTGAGGAACCCTGTGGTTTGAAGCCTATCTCTGATGATTATCTATCAACCATTTCACAGCCACAGTTAAAAGCATGTGAAGCGGGAGACATAAAAGGTGGGTTTCTAATATATTTTCTACCTGTACAGAAATAAATCCATAGTCCCATCGGAATAGATGGTCTTTTTAGTCTCTCACAGGAAGCCAAATGAGAGAGAGAGAAAAGCTGAGGCACCCCTGGTTGAACATAAATTTACATAAATGCTTACAACTTACTGCTGAGGGACACTTAAAGGAAAGTTCACATATACTAGTATCTCATTTGGCTATTCAACAGTTAATGACTTTATCAGAAATGCATGAATGGTGCCTGAAAAATTGGATCTGAGCTTTAATCAGCATGAAGAAAGATAACAAGATATATACCTGCCCCTTCCCCACCTTGTCTAGGATGTTTAAGGTTTTTAAGATCAAGTCAGGGAGTTCTGTGGTTTCAGCTATGAATACATTTTAATTGGCTTTAAGGGTTTTGCTTGTTTATTTTTCATACATATGTAAGACGTCAATAATTGTCAGAAGCTAGGGCTGAGCTTGCCAAACATTTTCATGATGGTGATACATGTTTTAGACATGCATCATTTTGCAACACAGTAATTAAGACCGCTTTCTGCGCTGCCCTATATTCCAGATTATTTGGCAGTGTAACTTCATATAATTTGGGATCAGATCCTGGGATATAGGGGAGTATAGATCCAGCCCTAATTTTCTAGCAAATCGGAGGTTAAACTGAATCTTTCTAAGAGATAACAGACAAAAATAAATTGTAATAATGAAATGTATGGGGACATAACATATCTCATGAAAATCTCTCTTTTATATTTTTAAAAATATTTGATTTATTGCTTATTTTACATAGATGCAGAAGTTTTTTGTTACACTTATATAAAAAGCCTATATACTACAGCTTGCACACCCACATGTCACACAGTTTGGAAAGCTTTGAGATACTCCCAGGGAGAACCTGGAGAGCCATATGATTTCTGGACCTCTTGCAGAAGAAAAACAATAATCAAAATTATTTTGCTTCCGTATCCCTCTAAGGCCCTGCAGTTGACATGAAAGCATTTTTGCCTCCCTGGGCCATCCTAGGCACATAATACTTCTTGAAAACACTTCCCTACAGGGTGTTTGGGAACATTATGAGGCAAACTTTTTGACATGGAGAAGGGTGGCATTTGAGGGTCTCTTAAAAATGTCAGTGAGAGTCATGGGTGTGGTTGGCTCACAATTTTTAATTGTGCAAAGGCCCTCCTGGCCACTGCAGATACCTGAGCCTCCCTTCTCCTAGGATATCCTTTTTCTTAGGATATCTTGTAAATCCATAGCAATCAGGGTGGCAAATTAACTCAGAGTATTTTTTTTCTCCTTCTTTGCCTTCTTCAGCTATTCTGAGTCTAAAGTGATTTTTCATCCTACAGAACCTTTTCTATAAAATTGTATAGCATAAAGAGAGCTCCTGTTCAACTTGGACCCATAAAGTAGATTTGCTTCCCAAATAAATAATATTAATAACTTTATTTTTGTATCCCGCCACCATTTCCCTGAAGGGACTCGGGTGGCTTACATGGGGACTAAGCCCAGTCAAGCACAATTAAAAATATGATAAAATAAAATGATAAAATACATATAAAACATCATTAAAACATAACCATCATAATCAACAATCAGTAATATATCCACTGCTTGCCATGTCCTCTTCTTAAAAAGGAAAAAAAATCAAATAAAACTTAATCAAAGTCCAAATGACAATTTGTTTTCTAGGGCAATGGATTGTGCCTTGTCTTAGTTGTTCTGACAACAGAACCTGTGACTGGAGACAAATAACATGGCAGCCACACAACTGTCAATATCCTGTTCTCAGCAAACCAGAACTGCAACAATGTGTAGAGAACAAAAAGGTATGTCTATGTCATAAATATGGGATAGGCGGGCTTTTTGAAAAATATCCAACTTTTCACTGAAATAATATCTATATGGTCTCCTGCTATTATTAATATATTTGGATAAGATTTACAATACAATGGAAATACCTAAATCCTACACCTTTTAATTATGAGGTTTTTCAGAAAGGAGTAAAGTTCCTGGAGGTATGGAGACCTCTCACTTCTTTCTGTTATCCCTGGTTTCCCTTGTCCCTCCCTTCCTTATGTCCTTCCTCCTTCCCTTATGTGATACATCTACAACCTCATCACATGGGTTTTCCTAGTCTTTTGAAGCTGTGGGCACTCTGCTGGAGTCCACCAGAGCTCCTCAAATGATGCAGGGCTACTTCTGGCAGGGCTCCATTAGGCTCCATATCAGCAGCATGCTGGCAGCGCAGAGGGACAGAGCTCAGAGAAACAGCTCTGGACAGCATGGGAGGAAGTCAGGAACAGCATGGAAATATCATGGAATGGGAGCCCATGACCAACTATGGTACAGGGATAAAGCAGTACACCATTTCCCTTGCTGTCCCCTGGCTTCTTAGCCTCCATGTGATGAAGTCATTAAACTCGGGAGATATTTCAGATATTGGCTTCCACTAATTTCCACTGAAGCCTTTGAAATTATTATTCAATCATTATAGTCAAAGTGTTGCAATATTACACTACTGTAGTTAAGCATTAATTAGGGGTTGTTGGGGTTTTGTTTTTTTTGTTTTTTTTGTTTTGTTTTTTTGTATTATTAGCACTTCTCATTCCCTTGGTTGAACTCTGTTGAATATGAGTCCTGAAAAATTACTATGTTTCTTGGCAATGACGTCCTAACTCAGTGGTTCTCAACCTGTGGGTCCTCAGGTGTTTTGGCCTACAACTCCCAGAAATCCCAGCCAGGTTACCAGCTGTTAGAATTTCTGGGAGTTGAAGGACAAAACATCTGGGGAACCACAGGTTGAGAACCATTGTCCTAGCTTATTCTGGTAAAACACAAATAGCCATGGAGCATTTTGTTTCATTTTGGGAGATTTGGAGATTGGGAATACAATATCATTGACAATGCATGAAGTTCTCTTAGAATATAATATGACCTCCATATCTGCAGTGGATTTATAAGGAACCAGAAAACCACAGTTAATAGTGAACCCTATTAAAATGAATGAACTCAGTCAAAAGTTCTCACAGAATCATGGGGAAGAGCTAGAAAATGCCTAGAGATGGGTTCTCTGGAAACTTCCTAGGTCTTTCAGTGCTTCCTGTAGTAGAAGCATATCATAGAGTCATGCTGAATGACCTAAAAGCCTAGAGAGGGCATATTTTGTCAGCTATGGAGGTTTTACTCTATTTTTGTGTGTATGAAAAGAGATGATATAACATTACCATTTTCAATAGCTTTTCATTTGTAGCATCTAAACAACAAATACAATTAGCCCAGTTGTCATTTCTGTATAGGATGACATTTTCCAGATGAACCAGTGATATGTGTTTTCATTCAAGATGAACATCCTTTGCATGCACACTATATCCTTTGCCAGTTACCTAACGTATGGCATTGTCTCTGGCTACTAATCTTTTTTCACATTCCTGTGTAGGTCTCAGATGGGGACCGCACTAGGCTGACTTTTCTTATAGTGAAGATTCTGTGATGGTTGCTTGGAAATGCAGTGTCGTCTTAATAAGCATGGTGTGACTGTCTAACATTTGAAAGCAATCTGTGGCTCAGGTACAATTGTCTGGTGATGTAAGTAAGAAAAACACTGCAGATTTTTCTATATGTTATCTAAATTAAGAAATTTTAATAGAAGTACACTTAAGAGCAAGTCTTTTGAGGTGACAAAGAACTACACATGGCTGGAATTCTGTTGGCACTATATGCCAGTGCAAATAGCAGAAGGAAATGGCCATGCGAAGTATAAGATAAATTAGTGGCTCAGAATTGACAGCTTTTATATGCCTTCCCTCACCAGTACCACTGCAAGATCCTGAAAATATTGCAAATATGTCATTGGTGGACTAAGCGAATTTAGCATTAATTAGATAAAGGTTGATTATCACTTATCGGAAAATTTTGGGACCAAAATAGTTTTGGATTTCAGATATCTTTTTAAATTTGGACACTTTTATTCACATATTTGTACATAATAAGGTACCTTGGAGATGGGACCCAGTCTAAACACAAAATGCATGTATGTTTCATCTATATATAATTGAAACGTAATCTTATACATAGTATTTTTAATCATTTTATGCATGGAACAAAATGTGTGTATCATCATTTTCATAGGCTGGATCTCTGCTGCCATATAATCCAGTTTCAGAATGTAGATTAACTGCATCAAACTGAATTATTTGAGTCTACACTGCCATATAATCCAGTTCAAAAGCTTTTAATATGAATTCTATAACTGGATAATATGGCCTCAGTCACCAAGATGAACGATTTTGGATTCTGTAATATTTTGGATTTTGGAATTCTAGTTGAAGGATCCTCATCTTGTTCATATGGATGTGTATATTCTTTAGGATGTCAAACTGGAGGAGCTTTTAATGACTATGTAAAAGAGAGAATTTCAGCAGGCGTTGCTTGTTAATTGATTGCTTGACAAGTGATACTACTGAATTTTTCAATTCTACACAACTACTGGAGAAGATAATGATGTTGGGGAAAATGGAAGGAAAAAGGAAGAGGGGCCGACTAAGGACAAGATGAATGGATACTATTCTTGAAGTGATTGGCTTAACCTTGAAGGAGCTGGGGGTGACTACAGTCGACAAGAAACTCTGTTGTGGGCTCGTCTATGAGGTCACAAAGAGTCGGAAGCAACTAAATGAATAAACAACACACACAACCATTAAAGTTACAGGAACTCTTTCCAGTTTTCGGACTAAAAGCCCTAATTCTCTGTGTAGTGTGCGTATTATAAATGGTTGCATAGTGGAATCATAATAAATGTTTGGGAAGAGACAAACAGCTAAACTATCAGCAAGTAATTCATCCCAAGCATTCTGACCATTTTGAAATATCTGACTTGGCCAAAACAAACAAACAAAAACCACCTCAAAGTTATGACAGCAAATTCTTTCTGTGAAGGCAAGGAGAAATATACTGATGCTTGGAAAAGTAATACATTTGCTGCACTTACTGAGGAGCATGTAGATGTGGCTACCAATGAGTACAGTTTCTGTAGGAAGGAACCAGTGTATTCAGGAATTGACTGTTATCTCACTGTCGCATCATTTTCTACTAATAGCTGTAATTGCCTTTATCTGGACTGCTTTTTCACTTTTCCTGCATGTGACATTGCGCTCGAGTTCTTTCTGTCAGCACTAACTCAGGACCACCTGTGGAGACAGAATACACACAGATTGGCTGGGACATGAAAAGAGGCTATAAATTCCCATAAGCAATTTTATAAGAGAACCTATGTAGATTAATGGTGTGTTAGCCAAGTTAATCAGTCATTTGCAAAGAATGAAAGAGATTTGTGCTCGGGAAGGTGGGTTTCGGGTTTATAAAAAACTCGTTTTGTTTCATATTGTATGTCAGTATTTTTCTTTGAACTCCCTATTAATGCAAACTGTATGAAGGCTATATTCCATCTGTTAGATGTATCCACTTGGGAACTGACATGGGTTTTAAGGACTGGGGTTGGGGAGTGAAATCCAAACAGAAAATGCTTGAATTTCTTTTACACCAGTGTGACAAAAACCATATAAATTTACAGTTGATTAACTTTTACTGTTATAGTTCTATGATCTGCCGAAGCATAACACTCTAATTAGGGTACATGGTCACCTCTCAGATAAAAGTTAAAATAGCTCATGAATAATAAGTTATTCAAATAACTAGGTATACATAATTGCATACTTAAATTGTAAGTGATCGGTGATGAAGCATATATTTTATTTATCTCGCTAAAAAAGCAATTTAAATTTAAATTTTGTAAGAAATGCTCTCAGCAATGTATCATTAAGAGATGGAAATGTGAAAAGACAATATTTGTTGAAGTACTTAAAACCCACTTGTTAAAATAGGAACACACACACATATACATACCTATGTGTGTGTGTCTCTCTCTCTGTGTATATATAAAAGGTAAAGGTTTCCCTTTGACATTAAGTCTAATTGTGTCCGACTCTGAGGGGTGATCCTCATCTCCATTTCTAAGCCGAGGACCCAGCGTTGCCTGGAGACACCTCCAAGGCCATGTGGCCGGCATGAATGCATGGAGGACCATTACCTTCCTGCCGAAGAGGTACCTATTGATCTACTCACATTTGCAGGTTTTTGAACTGTTAGGTTGGCAGAAGCTGGGGCTAACAGCGGGAGCCTACCCCGCTCCCCAGATTCAAAATGCTGATCTTTCAGTTGGGAAATTCAGCAGTTCAGCAGTTTAATCCCCTGTGCCACCGGGGGCTTTGTGTGTGTGTGTGTATGTGTATGTGTATAGAGAGAGGCGGGGGGAGAGCGAGAGACTGCATCTTATGCATAATGATATCTAGCAGAACAAATAGAGTTTATTGTAGTGGTATGAGCTATTCCCATTTATAATTAGTTTGCTAGCACAGTACCATCATTAAAATTAATACTAGGAAAGATTCTAGAGCAGATCTTTAAACATGTTCTTTAAATAATAATAATAATAATAATAATAACAACAACAACAATAACAACAACAACAATAAAAATTTATAACCCATCCTCCTTCCCTGAAGGAACTCCGGTCAGGTACTTAGGAATGAATTGTATGATTATTAAAGGTCAATATGGGTTCCCCAAAAACAAACCATGCCAGACAAATCTTAGTCCTTTTTGATAAAGTTACAAGCTTGGTAGATGAAGGGAATGATGTGCTTGTATAATATCTTGATTTCCATCAGGCCTTTGTCAAGATAATAGAGGACATGCTTGTCAAATTTGCAGATGAGACAAAATTAGGTAGGGATGCTAATCGCCCAAAGGACAGGATCAGAATTCAAAATTACCTTCACAGATTTGAGATTTGGCCAAAACTAAGAAAATGCATTTCAACAGGGGAAAATGTACACTGCTACACTTAGGCAGAAAAAATTAAATGCCCAAATATTGGATGGTTGACACCTGGATTGAAAACTGTACATGCGACAGAAATCTAGGAGATCTCAGTACACCATAAGCTGAAGATGAATCCATGTGATGCATCAAGTATAAAAGCCAATGTAATTCTAGGCTGCATAAATATGAGGATAATGTTAAAAGGAAAAATAATAGTACTGCTGAATTCCATTTTGGCCAAACTTCACCTGGACTACTGTGTCAAATTCTGGGCAGTGTAGTTCAAGGATACTGACACACTTGAACATGTCCAAATAAGAATATCTTGATAGTCAAGTTTAAATATTTGAAAGGCTTGTTCTATCTTCATTATAACATGTTTGAAAGGATGTCATGAAGATGGAGCAAGCACTTTTCTGCTGTTCCAGAAACTAGGATGTGTTGCAACACATGCAGACTGCAGCAGAAGAGATTCCACTGAAATGTTAAGTACTTGCTGACATAAGGGGCTGTTCAGCCGGGGGATACGCTGCCTTGTAATGTAATTGAGTTTCCTTCTTGAAAAGTTTTCAAACAGAAATTGGATAGCTATCTATCACGAGTCTTTGATTATATGTTTCTGCATGACAGGCAGTTGAGCTAGATGGCCTTTGGGGTTTCTTCCAACTCTATGATCCTATGATTCTATGTTATTATCAGCCCTTCTCTGACCAGGAAGCAAGGCTGCAACAACCAGAAGCAGGAACCCACAATTCTACACAGTTCCTTGTTGTGGCTCTTCTCACTGGTGGGAGAAAGCGGGAAACATCCCTCTCCTTGTGCTCAATTGGCAGCTTGCTCTCTTTTGCTGGATGCAAGTGCTAGTAGTTTAGGTTGGCAAGAAGTCATGGGGTCAGGAGAAGTTACATAGTTATGCCTCTACTAAGTAGTCAATGTAATTGTGGAAATTAAGATGCTTTGGTCACATTTTGGGGGACAGCAGGATATAAATTATAGAAAGAGATAGTGAAAGGGAGGGAGAATCTCATTCCACAAGCAGAGTACCCAAGTGCCAATAGGTTTACTCTAGTTTAACAGAACAGTTATCAAACAGTTCTCAGTGCTCTGTGGTTATCTTTTCCCTTTGAAGGTCCTTTTTATTGGTGATTCAACCAACAGAGGAATGATGTATTATCTGATAGAGAGAATGAACAAGACCCTGCAAGAGTGGCAAAAAGCTCATGACGTGAAGTTCTATGACAATGTAAATGATCGGAGGACTTTTATTAGTTACTCATATTATCCCCAGTTTTGGATCAGTGTAACTCAAAGACCAACATTTGAAAAAGCTCTGGAGGAGCTGCTGCTCAGGTAAGTTAGAGCTCAGGATGCTAAGGAACTGGCACTTTTACTAATCTTTGCTGATTTCCCTAGTCCTATCTGTCAATGTCCTAGTGTTTCAGTTAAAATGGAAAGGATTTTGTATGACTCAGAGTCTCTGGGAGACATTTTACACTGTGCATTGTAATGTTTAGAAAAAGTAGAAACAGACCTTGGAAAACTTACTTTATGGATTACAGCTTCCTAAATCTCTTGAGGCCGCATTGTGGGCCCAGCTGGGAGGGCTAAGCCAGGAGGGAGGGAGGCTGGGAACATGCTAGGTGGAGAGGGCCTGGGAAAGGACAGGGCCAGGAGGGGGCAGTTCAGGGCACGGGTCATCCTCACGTTGTCCTCCCAGCATAAGGACAAGGCTGCTCATCCCATCCTTATGCTGGGAGGAAAGTGGGACATGCGGCAACTTCCCCGATCCTCTTTCCCATCCTCCTCCCCCAATTCTCAGGCTGTCTTCTTGGCATTATGCTGGGAAAAGGGTGAGACACATGCTTTCCTCGAGCCGTCCTCTTGGCACAAGGATAGGGGTTGCTCATACCAACCTTATGCGAGGAGGGTGAGACACACAGTGGCCGAAAGCACGCCAGAAGGCTCTCAGCTGCTATGTGCCCTCCTCCTCCATATTTTTGGCATAAGGATGCAGCAGGCCACCATGTCCTTATACCAAGGGGACAGGGAAAATGAGGAGGGCCTCAGGTAAGTGCCCAAGGGGCCACATATGGGTCCCGGGCCTTAGTTTACCCATGTCTGCTCTAAGGCAACAGGTCACAATGACCATACTGTTTGGAGATTGTGGGAATTATAATCCAAAAATGCTATTTTTCCATATCCTGAAGAAGAACTCTACTACAATTGAATTTGATGGCTCTTGCAGTCTCTTCCAACTCTATGATTCTATCATTCAATCCAAAATTGAATAACTCTCTCTGAGTGTACATTGCATTGTCTGTGTAGAGGTTCTTTAAGTCATATAGATATCTCACTGTCTGCACTTGTCAAAGCCAATTAACAAGCAATATATAATTTGTGGGAATTGTTGATTAAATGAATCCAAGGTGCTTAATGAGACGTCTGTACCTTTGAAGTTGCTGGCAGAGTTCTACCTTCATTGGCGCAGAATTGGCTCCTCTTTTCCAATGATTCTGACAGATTTGTCCAATGAAAATGAGATAAAATAGTGACTTAATCTTAAAATATGCAGAACTCTCTTATATAACCCATAATGACATCAGTTTTTCATGGTCAGGGGTGGCCAGTACGCTTGGCTAAAGTTTAATGCAAAGCTGCTAAAAACATTGCCATATGTTCTGAATTCTGAGCCATAGTGTGCTTTTATGGTTCTGTTTTGTTTGTTTTATTACAGATCGCAACCACTACGGAACACAGGCCAGACTATATTAGTTGTTGGTGGTGTCCAATGGCTTAATTTCAATCACTTACATATTATTCAAAGAGTACTGAAGCGGTATGTGCTATTTTTCTTTTCTTTTGTATGAAATAAACACTAATGGTGCTAAAATTAATTTCCAATATCATTCTCAGAATCTTTAGTTTTCATTTATTCAATGCCTACAAAAATGTTTGCACAGTATATTCCTTCTTTTATAGGGTACTTTCAGCACCTATAAATTAAATATAGACTCGCATTCTATTAGTTGGTTATGATGCTGTTAATTAGACATAGGAATTCTAAGTGTTGGCGATTCCCATCTGTGATCATGGCAGCACTCTTGCCATGACTGCAAATGACCCTGAAACCCACCTTAAAAGCCAATTAGCCATCTGGAGCAATGGAGGTTTGTGCTGCAGCCAAGCGGAGCACCACAGGACAATGTGACCAGCCCTTCCTGCCAATATGCAATGCAATGCCAAAGATAATGCTATTTCTTCCTACTTTCCAATTCCTTCTTCAGCCAATCTACATATCACTGTGAGTGATCTCTATTCTTTTGAGAGCAGAAAAAAGGACGATGGTGGCTACTAGATGATGGAAGGATGATATAGATATTGGAAAGCTGTTTTTTCCTTGTGTTGCCTTACCAGCTTGGTTTCCAGTTTATGAATTCTGTCACTGATTATGCCATGACAATACTCAATCATAATTCTGTATCTATTACTTTATTTATTTATGAAGGTGCTAATCTATTAGACCTGAGACCTGGGTGAATGAAATGAGTACAATAAACTCATCATCCAGAAGAATTCCATAATACGTACAAGTATCTGGCCCCGGTTTTGATGTTTCATACTTCCAGCAGAGTTCAAGAAACAGACCAGGCATGCTACTGGTGTACTGGCTGGTCCATACCAGATGTTCTTACAATTTTTTTCCCCATTGAGTGAATGTTTTCAGCTTGGGGACTTTGTAGTCAATTTCATATGCAGGGGAAACCTATTTCTTGAAACTATGAGGGTTTTGCACCAGAACATTGTATTTTGTGATCTCTCTCTATATATATATATGTGTGTGTGTGTATGTATGTATGTATGTATGTATGAGAAATTTTAGCCAAAAAAACCTCCAAAAATGCATTGAAAGTCCCAAATGCATTGAAAGAAACACAAGAACACTTGTAATCGTTCAATATATCTTTTCTCACTGAAGATGAGAAAACTGGCAGATATTCTTTGGCTGAGGTCTTGTATGTTACAATGTTTTGTAATTGTCCCACAGTAGGAACTGCACTATGGACCTCACCACATTTAGTTTGATAATGTGGGCAACAGTGGGGGGATTCACTGGGTTTTGTGGCAAATCTGTGGGTCAGCAGGGGAATCCCTCACCCTGCAGTGCCCGCAGTACCACCTTCCTCATCGCACGTGAAAGCTTCCCACCACACTGTCCCCATTGCTGGCAACAAGAACATGAGAAGCCTCCCATGCTCTCGATGCTCCTTCATAGGGTGCTGAGAACACAGTTCCTGGACGGAATCTTACCAGAAGTAGTTTTGTGTCATGTGAAGTGATCCTGCGGGCTCTGTCTAGGAACTGTGTTCTCAGTGTCTTACGATGGGTCTGAAAGCCCATATGATGAAGTCCTATATCTCTCCTCTCACCATCATGCCAGACTCACTATTTAGTTTCTGGAGCTTCTATAGACATTCAGTAATTAGTAATTTATGTCCTTCCTTCTCAGTAGTTGGGGAGGATGATTTTTCCCACCAATAATACATTGTAATGAACTTTCCCTATTGTAGAACAAAGCAATCGGAGGCGCCTTGGTTTTGCATGGTCAATTAATACCCATGTGATCCATGTGGGAAAGTTACAACCTCTAATACCACAGATTCTTGTGGTGATTTAAAGTGGCAATCCCGTAATTGTTCAGAAAAGATGCAGTATTTAATTTGGAATAAGTAATTTTTATATGCTTACTTAGGAGATTGTATAAGATAAAAACACCAATAAGAAATATTTACAGTATGTCAGCCTTGCATAACTACAAATAAAGTATGCCTATTTTATTTCATTTCATCCATAGAGCAAATCTATCAAATATCCAGGTAGTGATAAAATCGTTGGGAATGGGCTTCCATCTGCCAGTCGATGGAGTGCATTATCTATCTCCAGTAAGTCACCTTTTGTCTCTCTTCCAATAAACACACTCTTTTGCCTTTAAACTGAAGCTTCATTTTATTTGGCAGCATGTAATAAATAAATAAATAATATGGTATGTATCTGAATGGAATACTTCTGCTATAGTTATCCCAATATTACTGTGTATATATGCATGTATGAGTCAAAAACATTTAGTAAAAAACCCAAAAAACAATATCACCTATTCACAGGTCAATGTAAGTACTGCACCTTGATGCTTCTCAAAAAAGGACTTTGACACTTCTTAAAGGAGCACAAAGAGATGAATAAACTTCCTTTACTGCCATACTATCATTATCATGTTGAAAGATTAGGTGCAATGTTTTTAACAGTTTTTAAAATCATATCTATATGCTTTATTTTGATTTTAAGTTTAATGTGTTGTGTATTTGTATACTTTTACGTTCAGTGTAGCACTGAATAATTGCCAAAACTGGAAGTTGCTCTGGGTCCCCTCCGGGGTGATATAGAGTGGGGTAGAAATACACTAAAATACAGTAAATAAATGCATAAATAATAAAGACGATATCATTGTAAAGTTATTGCTGCTGACAAAGAATCTAAGCCTGAGAAAGGGGGAGGGGGGTGAGAAACAGACAGACTGACCATGTTCTCAAGCACTATATTGTGAATCCACTAATTGTCAGAAAACCCTGCTGGTCTGTTGTAAATCATCCAAAGTTTTACTGGGAGTTCCCAGAGAGGCTGTGTTGTATCTTAATCTTTCTACCTGTGCGACTAAGAATAATCTGGGAACACCTCCCTTTGTTTCAGAAGCCCCTTTTCCAGATTCTTTATGTAGGGAGCTCTCTCCAGTTTGGTGATGGATGAAATATATGCTGCCCCCACCCGGGGGTCCTTTCATCTGTTCTTAGTTCATATGTTCCAGGCCTGAGGCTTGAGATTAAAACCATATGCCAGGACTGAGTCCTGGTATAAATAAAACCGTGCTGTTTGTTCCATGAACTACTACATTAAAAGCAAGTAGCACAGAATTATGATTGTTGATATAATGCCAGCAATATGGTTGGGACTTGCCAAAGCAACCACAAAAGGACACATCTCTGCCTCCAGAGGTTTACAGACCAAAGTTGGAGACGGAGAAAGGAACAGAAGAAGAGGAAGAGGAGGAAGAATGAAGAGAGAGGAAACCAGAGAAGAAAATAACAACAGCAGCAACAACTTTATTCTTGTATCTCACCACAAAGGGACTTAGGGCAGTTTACACATGGCACAAGGTGCCTAAAAACAGAACATAAAATAAAACACAATATAAAATTGAATGAAACATATAGGCATATAAAACAACAACTTAAGACTCAATTAAAACAGTGCTTATCAACCACTGGTATTAAGCTACTGTAAACATGACCAGGCTGTAAACAATAGGACAAGGGAATAGGATAAGTGCAGAGCTGTAATCATGGGATGAGGGCATGGGATGAAGTGCAAGGCTGCATAACTATTGCATACAACAACTAGGGACTAGGCATTTTCAAAAGCTTGTTTGATCAGCCGGTTTGGATCTAGGCGAACCATACTTAGAGTAGGCTAATTGAGATCATGGGATTTGTATTGAAATTTGTGATTTCAAATGTGATTAAGACTAGATGTGGGCCGAAGGACCCTAAAGATACCAGATCCCATCTGATCTTGGAAGCTCAGTAGGGTTAGTCCTGTTAATATGAAGTGGGACACCACCAATGAACACCAGGTGCTGTAGGATACATTTCAGAGGAATGAACTGGCAAAGTCATCTCTATCCGTTTCTTAGAAAACGCCTATGGAATTAATGAGGTCACTGCACCTTGAGGGCACAGACAAACAAACAAAACTACATCCAAACCCATGTGTTGAATTTGGTGGTTTCCCCTAGGTTATCTGAATCTCCAATTTATATTGCTCCCTCACCAAAAAAAGGAGTTAATAATGTTTTCATTTACAAGTTAAATGAACTCCCCTGCAGTAATACTGTAATGCTGATAAAGGACTTAATAACATGAGGCAGGCAAACTGGCATTGCAGCTGGACTGTTAACTTTCACATAACTCCATGTTCATCCCATCAGCAGCTACAAATCCACCTACATTGGGCAATGAGTCCCTTCTGCTTCTGTGCTGACCTGTTGGCAGTAATATGACATTGGAAAGCAGGATTTACCCCTCTCCACCCCCTCCTTGCAATTCCCAAACTGACTCCTTTATTGTATTACACATGTGTATATTTGTGTGGAATTGTGCAATTGTACTAAAACTTAAAAAAATGGAACAGTAGCAGTGTTGGGAATATGCAGTCAGAGGGTTTGTAGAAATAAAGTTGTGGGATCACAGATTGATAAACTAGCCCAATTGTGCTAATGAAGAGATGTGTGATATCAAAGATGTTCAATGTGCTATGTACCAACAGTCAAGGATAATGTGATTTCAGTGGGAAAGTGAGTTTGTGTGATAAAATCCAACATATCTGGAGGCCCTTCCACACTGCCCCTTTATGCCAGGATCTGATCCCAGATTATCTGTTTATCCCAGATTACCTGGCAGTGGGGAATCATACATTCCAGTTAAAAGCAGATAATCTGGGATCAGATCCTGTGATAAAGGGCAGTATGGAAGGGCCTTGGATATAGCTGACATCTGCATATGCATGAAATGATAAGAATAATTTCAATTTCAATTACAGATGGAAGTGCAGAATTTGTGGAAGGAAAATCAAGCTATTTTGATCACAGCCAAACAATATGGCTATGAAGTGGTTGATACTTTTATTATTACTATGGGACGGTACAAGGAATTTTTGCAAGGGAAATGTGGATGCCATTTCCATGAGGTAACTATGTGGTTCGAATTCTCATTTTGATGAACAATGTTGATACTTTGTGTTGTCACATTTTAATGGGGATATTTGCACTAAACAGCATTCAGCAGTTGATTAGTTGTGGCTAACCATTGTACTGCCTAGACTATGAGAAACTGAATGTTTTTGAAGAAAATTTTTTCATCTCTACTGGTTTTAAACTACTTTTAATCTTTTTGACTGTATCTTTTCAAACTGTTATTAATGGTCTTGACAGTTTAATTATATTTCAATGTTAACATTTGTATGTTTCAGTTGTAATGCATTTGTACTTTCAAATGATGCGTGCAGATCCAAGTAAGGTGGCCTTTTGCAGTTGACAGATCATGATTTTGTCAATGCTTATTGTTTCCAAATGCCAGCTGAGATCTTTTGGCATGGCACCCAGTGTGCCAATGACCACTGGGACCACCTGTACTGGTTTATGCCAGAGCCTTTGCAATTCGATTTTGAGGTCCTGATAATGGCTGATTTTTTCCTGTTGTTTTTCCTTAATATGACTCTCGCCCGGTATGGAAACATCAATAATCAAAACTATTTTCATTGTGATGTCTGGTATATTGTGTTCCAAAACTTTGTCAGTGTGGATTCGAAAGTCCCACAGTATTTTTGCATGTTCATTTTCCACTACCTTTGCAGGTTTATGATCCCATCAATTCTTTACTGCTTGTAGGTGGTACTTGTGACATAAGTTCCAGTGAATCATTATTATTATTATTATTATTATTATTATTGCTTCTGGTGTGAGAGAATTGGCCTTCTGCAAGGACGTTGCCCAGGGGATGCCCGGATGAATTTTTTTTTTTTATTGTTATTATTATTATTATTATTTGAAACACAACAGGATGAGTCCACAGCAGACAAGATCACTCTGCTGGCTGTTGAATTGGATCACACATCGGACACTTCCCAAGTGTCTAGGACTGTGTGATGTATCGGCAAATAATGTGTGCAGATCTGAGTAAGGTGGCCTTCTGCAGCTGGCAGATGATAATTTTGTGATTGTGTGCTGACACTTGTAACTGTAACTGTGGAGTGCAGGCCAAGGTCTTTAGGTACTGCACCCAGTGTGCCGATCACCACTGGGACCACCTTTGCAGTTTGATCTTTAAATCCTCCTATTGTGTCAGCTTTTCCAGTTGTTTCTCTTCAATCCTGCTATCGCCTGGTACTGCACATTGACAATCCATACTTTCTTTTTTAACACAATTGTGAGGTCAAGAGTATTGTGCTCCAAAACTCTGTCTGTCTGAATTCGGAAGTCCCTGAGTAGTTTGACATGTTCATTTTCTGTAACTTTTTCAGGCTTGTGATCCCACCAGTTCTTTGTCGCAGGCAGATGGTATTTTGTTGTTGTTGTTGTTGTTGTTGTTGTTGTTGTTGTTGTTGTTGTTACTATTATTTTGGGATGATGATCATAATGATGATAATTTTCATCATTATCATTAATTTATTTATTTACCACACTTGAACCCCTCTCTTCTCACTCTGAAGGAGACTCAGTGTAGCCTCACAAAGGCAAAATTCAATGCCTGTAAACATATACATATCGGTAAATAAACAACTGCATTAAAATCAACCCCATTAAAAACATAAACATTAAAACATCAGTTAAAATCACAAAATCCAAATCATATTCCAGAGCCATTATCATCATCATCAAACAAGAAAGAGTAAAATCCCACTAAGTTCTCTATTAAATGAGATAGTGATTGGTCATAACTTCCTTGAGTTAAAAGCAACTTTACTTTCTGTTCTTTCCCAGTCTCTTAATCCAATCCCTAAATACAATACAATCCTCTCTGGTGGGGGCTCTACTTCTACTGTAACTGTGGTAGTTCAGTCTCACGGAGTCCCGGGATTTACAGTTTAAGGAGAGCTATTTAGAATTTTTAGTACCTCAGCAGACTGCACACCCCAAAATGCCATGGCAATCAAAGGGGAATTATAGTACTATAACTCTGTAGTGTGATAGGGCCTTTAACCCACTGCATAAATTCAACCCAGTCACTTAATTTAAATCACAACATTGGATAAATGAATATGCTTTTTACATTTGTAATGACCACTTTGTAGGAACACTATGCATCTCAAGGAGCCCCAATAAAACATGGGGCGGAGGGACTTCAAAGCATTTCAACACATTGTTTTGAATCCAGCCTGATGCGAGGCAATGAAATGAAGAGGAAAGGCAGCTGCAGCAGCTGGTTTGGTTTCAGGTGTCTGACTCTGAAACCAGCACGAGTCCTACTGTGATAAGCAGAATGGTGCACTCAGGGATGATCAGTTGTGAGCCATTTCAAAATGAAAACCCGCACAGAATTAGAGGAGACAGGTCAGTCTGCAACTATGTCAAAATGCTTGAGTTCTTCACAAGTGAAAAGGACTCATCGTAGCCACAGGCCTCTGTACCTTGAGGCTGGGAAGCTACTTGACAACAGTGATGTTTGTTGACACAAAATCCCCATGAGTCCTCTTAGAGACATTCCAGATCTCACTGAGAAAGATAGCAAATTGTGTACAGTCAATCTTCCACATCTGCTGGTGTTAGGGGCACAAATCCCACATGAAAGACCTAGTAATTCCTGGAAAAATGTAAATAAAGAAATTACTAATTTTTAATCTGAAAAAATACCTCTCCAGGAAAGTTTAGGTCTTGTAACATGACTCTATATAGTCAACTTCCACTAGAAGCTGACCATAGAACTGCATATGGAGAAACTAGAGATTCCTAAAGATTCCAGCATGACTGGAGGAAACTGACAATAAAATCACACTGAAGGACCAAGAGAGTCCTAGAGAGAACATTTTTAATCAAACACATCAATAACAAAAATCACATTTGTGGTTTTGAATTCATTTCTAATAAGACTTGAAAAGGAAGTCTATTATTCCTAGGTATGCTCTAGATGAACCTCTTGACTTCCAACACCGCAGAGCAGCACATAGATTCAAATAGGGGAGAATGTGATAGTGGCCAGTTTGTCAAATCAAAGCTAATTTGCTTGCCAGCATTCAGCAGCTGTCAAAGGAAAAGGCGCTTGGTATTTATATTTGGATTACTCTCTGAAGCTATAGGCATTCATGTGTATATACCTGAGGGCCCGTCCAGACAGGACCTTTGTTGTGGGAACTCCCACAATAAAGGAGGGGCTATCCAGACAACATTCTGGACAGTCCTGAATTAATTTGCTACAACCTGGTTTGTAGAGAATTAATGTGATAATGGATTTATTCTGTGCTTTCTTAGAAGGCATGGGATTAATCCACTATTTCTGGGTCTGGACTGCAGAGTACAATATTCCCACAGTTTACTGAGCTAAATAAACCCGCTAAATGGTGGGAATAACCACCCCCTCCCCCAAACCCTCAGACCCCTTAGAAAAGTAATAAAAACTTATGTGACCTCCATTAGAAGCCTTGGCAGGCTCTTCTGGCATGTAGAAATTATGTGGCAGGAGAGCGGGGAGGGAGGAGGAGGAAAATCACCCCTTGCCCCCTGCTCTCCTGGTGCATCATTTCTACATTCCGGGAGAGCCTGCTGAGGCTTCTAATGGAAGCCACGTAAGTTTTTATTATTTTTCTAAGGGGTCTGGGGGCTTGGGGGGAGGGGGGAGGGCCTCCACACATTCTCTTGGGCTAGTCCTGAGAAAACATCTGGACACCCACCCCAGAAAGTGCACGCTTTCTGGAGTGAGTGTGGACAGGCCCCCAGAAACATCAGTATTTTTTTTAACGTGGATGCTTCTGGGATAAAGACCTGTCTGGATCTGGCCTTAGATTGCTTTGGGAGATGAGATCTGAACCTGGAAGGGAACAGGAGATGAAGTAAGGAATTGAACTTTTATGGTTTTCCAATATCCTACACTCAATGCTGTCCATTTTCTGCTTTAAAGCACCAAGTTAAACTGCCAGTGAACTTAAAGCCACTTCACTGTAGCTGCAAAACAATCCTTAGCAAGCCAGTCTAACTTGAGAATGTTCTTCATGAGTTTGAAACTGGATTTGGCAGCATTCAAGCGCCTGGGTAGACTTTTACCCTTCCCCAGAACTTGAAAGATTACACCTCCACCGATGGATCACGTATTTTGTCCCATAATTGGAAATCACACACACAGGCCCCTTCTACACTGGCATATAAAATTCAGATTATAAATTTTGAACTGGATTATATGACAGCATAGACTCATATAATCCAGTTCAAACCAGATCATGTAGATTATCTGCTTTAATAATCTGGATTATATGGCAGTGTAGAAAGGGCCTTAGATGAAGTCAGTCACTTCTTGTTCCTTTCAAGGTCTTTAAAGTCTAGACTAGCCTTAGTGTGGGAAGAAATTATTTTTAAATGATATATTTTATACTGTGAGGCTTCTGTAAGTGGTATTTGCAATTTGGGGGGACAAAATTGTGTGTTAAGGACGAAAGTATTGTAGAGGAGCTGGGCGCCACGTGTGACTTGCATGCCACACTTAGTATTCTGTCCTCCCCTGTGGGGACTCAGAGCAGATTACAATGTAAACAGATACCGGCAAACATTCAGTGCCTTGTTACAGTACAATGAGACACACAAACACAAACAAAGGCAGAGGCATTGTTCCCTATTTATTTTACTGCTATTTGTGTTTTGTAATATAAAGTACCATATTATGAGGGCTTTGCTTGCGCCCCAGATGGTCTCCATTTTTACTTCTCCTGGTTTGTTTTCTGCAAAATACAGTGTTAGAATTTATTTTGCTTTCTTAACTATTTGTGAGTCTTGTAACAGATTTTCATTTATTTTCCAGGAGAAGTCCTTTTTAAAAATAAATAAATAACAGAATTTGCATGTTTTTGAACTGCTAGGTTGACAGGAGCTGAACAGGAACTCACCCTGTCTTGCAAATTTGAACTGCCAACCTTCAGGTCAGCAGTTCAGCAGTGCAAGGATTTAACACATTGTGCCACCGTGGCCCAAAGAACATAACAGCAATTGTATTAAATCATCCTTTTGTTATGTACCTGTAGCTTAAATGGGCCATTCAGCCTTTTACCTTGCAGCATCAACATAAAAACATCACAAGCATGTGAAAAAGATCGTGGAGTCCTCATGGAAAACAAGTTAAACATGAGCCAACAATGTGATGTGGCGGGGAAAAAAGCCAATGGGATTTTGGCTGGCATCAATAGGAACGTAGTGTCTAGATCTAGGGAAGTAATGCTACCCCTCTATTCTGCTTTGGTTAGACCACACCTGGAATATTGTGTCCAATTTGGGCACCACAATTGAAGAGAGGATGTTGACAAGCTGGAATGTGTCCATAGAAGGGTTACTAAAATGATCAAGGGTCTGGAGAACAAGCCCTATGAGGAGCGGCTTAAGGAGCTGGGCATGTTTAGCCTGCAGAAGAGAAGGCTGAGAGGAGATATGATAGCCATGTATAAATATGTGAGAGGAAGCCACAGGGAGGAGGGAGCAAGCTTGTTTACTGCTTCCATGAAGATTAGGACAAGGAACAATGGCTTCAAACTACAAGAAAGGAGATTCCATCTGAACATGAGGAAGAACTTCCTCACTGTGAGAGCCGTTCAGCAGTGGAACTCTCTGCCCCGGAGTGTGGTGGAGGCTCCTTCTTTGGAAGCTTTTAAACAGAGGCTGGATGGCCATCTGTCGGGGGTGATTTGAATGCAATATTCCTGCTTCTTGGCAGGGGGTTGGACTGGATGGCCCATGAGGTCTCTTCCAACTCTTTGATTCTATGATTCTAGCATTTGTTTTCTTCATTTTCAGGTGGTAAAATCCAAAACTTCTGAAGGAAGCTTTCCCATGGCAATGCCATTTTCAAAGCCCTATACTCTGGGCAAGTATTTCAACAAGCAAAGCAACCTGGTGAAACTCCAAGCCTACGCATCCAATTCTCAGTCCCCTTATCATGTGAGAGGTCCAATCAACCAAGTTTATTCAGAAATACTCCTCAGCAGGATCTGTGCAAATGACGGGAAGGTTGCTGGATTGTAATTTTGTATGGCTGAACTGTCAAGCTCCAGACTCGGTGCTTTGCCCATGTGGTGTTCCACAAGCCATACCAGACTTATTACACACTTCTCTGCGTAGCTGAACAGACCACCAGCTACACAAGACATGTGACACATTTCCACAAAGTCTTATAAAATCAAGATGCATCCCTATGCATCTGTGGTTTCAGAATAAGAGACAGAGAAGATGAGAAGGGGAGGAATTACTTGAAATCTTGCCCAAAAAATGGAATTGGTTTTGAGCTAAGTAAATACAATATCATATGATGGAAAAGAAAGAACTTTTATATCTATATAGAGATATATTTTATATATTTTTTAAAGACTGCTTAAATATAGGTACAGTGAAAGAACCATTCCATTTCAAAAGGTTTTATGGCATAACAAATCAGCAATATACGAATGTGCACTTAAAAGCAAGTATCACATTTTTACCGACAGTACCAGATTTGTATTTCTTACATTTGCACTTAGAGAATGATGGCGCCAGATATCCTTCACTCTAGAGTTCTACAGTGACAACTTTCTGAATAGATAAATTTGGATTTCAGGTTAATCCCTTTTCTCTGCACAACATCCCTACTTGACTTAATCATCATGATTTCGTCATGAACATGAAAAAAGGGACTAGTGCAGGCATGGGCAAACTTCGGCCCTCCAGATGTTTGGACTTCAACTCTCACAATTCCTAACAGCCGGTAGGCTGTTAGGAATTGTGGGAGTTGATGTCCAAAACACCTGGAGGGCTGAAGTTTGCCCGTGCCTGCACTAATAGCTCCAATCCTGCAATATCTAATTCAGCTCTTAAAATGTTTCCTTACTTTGTTGTTCTTTGTATTTCATATGAGGCATTATTGGCCCTGTTTGCAAACTTCCTACTACTAGTTCTAGAACTATCCTTGGACTTTTGGGAATCAGGTTATGATTTTGTACATGAAACAATATTTTGTAGTGTGCAGTAAAAAAAAACAAAAAACTCTGGAGGCCAGGGTACAATTCTCCACTTAGTCATAGAAACTCACAGGGATTTTTTAAAATTGTGACAGAAGTGAAATTGAGAATATACTGCAAGTCGTTTCTGGTGTGAGAGAATCAGCCATCTACAGAGATGTTGCCCAGGGGACACCTGGATGTGTTACCATCCTGTGGAAGACTTCTTGCATGTCCCTGAATGGGAAGTTGGGCTGACAGATGAGAGCTCACCCCATCTCATGGATTCAAACTGCTGCCCTTCAGGTCAGAAGTTCAGCCAGCACAAGGGTTTAACACATTGCGACACCACGGCTCCAACTCACAGGGTGACCTTGGGCAAGTCACTATCTCACTCCAAGAAAACCCCATGATAGGCTCATCTTAGGGCCACCGTAACCCAGAAACTACTTAAAGACAGACCAACAACATCAAGAAATATCTAAAGGAATGAGATGTTTTTGTATTTGCAGATAGTGGTCAATTTAAAAGTTATCTGAGCTTGTGGCTAAAGCATGGTTTGAAATGGAGACTAGTCAGGTTATGCACTTACCTATTAGAATTAGTCAGCTCTTTTTTCCTTTCTGACAATGGCATCTAATGCTATGTGAGGAGTAGAGGTTGGAAAAGTTTGCTGGGTAAGTACTACAACACTCAGAATCCCACATACTACATGGAATATTATAAACACAGCTAGTCCTGGTTTTCATCTGAACTTAAAAGAAGCTCTCCAAAGTCATGACCAACATTTTGGATATCTCCCTTAACATTCAGGCTAAAGTCTGCAATGAATTTACCAGCCCACTGACATAAAAACTGTGGCTCAAAATGTAACTTTCCCAAACTTTAGAAAGATGCCACAAACAAAGATTGAGGAAGCATAATGAAGCATACAATGGAAATCTAGAAGGCATAGGGAGAACTTACTGAGATGCCCTCATGTCTCAGCAGCGACTAAGGGGCTAAATGGAGATTTCTCATGGGGAGATAAAGTGAGGCATTAATAATATTAATATTAATATTAATAATAATAAATGTGTACAACCATCAATTGTGTCCACAAAAATGAAACTATTTCTTCATATCCTTGCCTCAAATTTTACACATGTGCTTAGAAATACAAGCACATGCAATACATCATATAGAGATACACTACAACAGCATTATAAAGTTCTCAGGCAGAATTGCACTATTGTATAACACATGAAAATAGTTGGGTGTTGTGCTATGTACAACCACAATGCCCAGCCACAGTGAACAACACATCTACATGCCAACTCCACTTCTATCACTGTCAATTGAATACATCTCTTGTGCTACGGGTACTAAGTGACACCATATGAATAATGTGTATGTCACTAACACCCTTCATATGGTTACTAAACTAGAAGGCAAGTTTCTGCCTGTATCCTAATATGTTTAAAGTGACTGTACCAAACTGATTGTATATAAACATCCCAGAAATAAATTCCAAACAGATCCAGTAATGGTGCAGAGGAAATGCTTGAAAGGAAGGCATGCCTGCTTTATTGCACAGTCTTAAAAATCACTAGCTTTTCTTGTGTTGTTATAATTCTGTTTTAATTTTGACTGTACAGTTTATGTGTCATTTACTTTTTTGTGCCAAATTTTCTTGCAACAGCAGCAGAAACGGAAAAGAAGGGTGGCTGTATAAATATGTTTATACTAAAAGTTGGTTTAAAATTTGATTCCTACTTTTAAGAAAGAAAATCAAAAACTAAGAAACGTAGAAGGAATTCTGGTCAAGTTAAACTTCATGCTGGCGAATGTTTATTGCATTTTCTGCGTATTCACCACAACATGGTTTTCTTTTGCTGTTGTTCACTGTGTATAATATTTTTCAGATGTTGCTATTCTGAAAGCAATCTTCCAATGCTATATCTTACACATATATATTTTTCTATAAAGTTATCATTGGAACATGTAAAGCAGTGTCTGTTTAATTTAATAAGACTTCCATCAATAGAGTCTCAGAGTGAGAGGATCTTTGGGTAAATTTATAGGGAAGGAAAAGAAAATTTCCAGAACTTAAGATGGTTATTATTTCTTTCACACACTGGTATGTGAACAATTGGGAGCATAGTCACTGCTTCAGGAGATGGTGATCGGGCATTTGGACAATGTGGCCAGTTCAGCGGAGTGGATGGCATAGGAGCATTGCTTCAATGCTGGTGGTCCTTGCTTCTTTCAGTACATTGACATTTGTCCACCAGTCTTCCCAAGAGATTTGCAAGATTTTTTTTGGAGGCAACACTGATGGAATCATTCCAGTAGTTGAGTGTGATGTCTGGAGACAGTCCACATTTTGCAGGCATATAGCAGTGTTGGGAGTACAATAACTTTATAAGCAAGTAACTTGGTCTCCCTCTGGATGTCCCAATTCTCAAACATTCTCTGCTTCATTCGGAAAAATGCTGCACTTGCAGAACTCAGGCGGTGTTGTATTTCAGTGTCAAAGTTGACTTTTATGGAGAGGTGGCTGCCAAGGTAGTGGAAATGGTGAACATTTTCTAACATTACACGATTAAGCTGTATTTCTGGCATTGCAGAGGGATTGGCTGGTGACTGCTGGGGGAGTACTTTGGTTTTCTCAATATTGGTATAACTACTTGCTCAAGACCAAGTGTTCTTTCAGGAAGCATAGACATAAAGATTATCACTATTTTTGATATCAATATAACTGATCCTTCTATAATAACCACTACTTGTTGTTATATAAATTCAGATTTCTGACAATTAAAGAAGCTCCTTGGTTTAATTTTTTTTTCTACTCTGATCCATCCTTTTCTCATTCAGCCAATCACTGTCTAAGCTTACACAGTTGTAGCATTTACAAAACCAGAAAATTCAATGTATTAAAACCATCATAGAGACCTCTCCCTAGGTTTCGTGTGTGTGTGTGTGTGTGTGTGTGTGTGTGTGTATGTAGATATATATATATATATATATATATATATATATATATATATATATAGCATTTGTTGAGAAGTATGAGGCAGTGCAAAACAGAAATAACTGCTGAATCTAACAGTTGCAAAATACAATAATAAGCACAACAAATCTATAACAGCAGGGCATTGTAACATTGCATCGTTGATAAGCCTCATCATAAAATACATATTTTTGGAGTGCCTAAGAAATAGACCCATGATAGACTGAAGCATTCTCCCACTTCCACATTTAAATTCTTAAGCAGGAAAATGTCAAAAATTATTCACACTATAAAGAATCAGAAGCTCAACAGGATGTCAGTTCTAAGCCTTAGCAAGCACATGGATTGAATATATGAAGATATTAAAATGCATCTGCATTCAAAACTGTGATGATAATGCAGAGTCATTACAGGACTTATGATTTAGGAGTTATTTTTGAAGCACATACTGTCCATTTTGTTGGCAGATTTTGCACTGTAATTAACTAGAATGAAACAGCAGATGTTGAGGGAGAGGAAGAAGACACAAAAGCTGTGTGCGCCCTATAATCTACCTAGCGGTCCCCAAGGTTGCCAACTGCCCACAGATATGATAGGACAGTGGTACTCAACCTTCCTAATGCCGTGACCCCTTAATACAGTTACTCATGTTGTGGTGACCTCCAACCATAAAATTATTTTTGTTGCTACTTCATAACTGTATTTTTGCTGTTGTTATGAATTGTAATTTAAATATATGATATGCAGGATATATTTTCATTCACTGGACCAAATTTGGCACAAATACCCAATACACCCAAATGGGGAAATTTGGAGAAAATAGACCTTGACATTTGGGAGTTGGAGTTGCTGGGATTTATCGTTCACCTACAATCAGAGAGCATTCTGAACCCTACCAAATGATAGAATTGGTCCAAACTTCCCACACAAAAACCCTCATGACCAACAGAAAATACTGTGTTTTCTGATGGTCTTTGGCAGCCCCTCTGACACCCCCTGGTGACCCCCCCCCTCGGGTCTTGACAGGTTGAGAAACACTGTGATAGGAGATGCTTTCTTGTTATGGTGCTGAAGTACATATCAACTGCTCATCTGTTTGACTTCTTCATGTGGAGACTAATATTCTTTACTGAAATACACACACATAAGTCCACTTTATGCTTGAATACATATTTTCTGGTCCTTGAACAGGCTGGAATGTTCTAAGAATTCAAAACTGAACTGCAGTAGACTTCACCCTGATAATGGGTGACATCATCTGAGAACATCATTTGCTGATCAGGAATCCCAGTGAATCTTGGTAGAAGATGCCTTTGCCTGTGTCTTTTTATAGCCAGAATATATGTCTATTTTGCAAATAGCAGCCATTTTAGTTGGTGATGTAAAAAGAAGATCAAAATGAGGAAATTGGACTGGGTGATTCTTGTGGTCTGGGATTTGGAGAAAACTCTTATTATATTTTAAGGATAGTTACTAAGATCTGTGAGCCAAAGCAATCACCTGAGCATTCAAAGGAGAAAGCTGGCACTGTACAAAGATGGAACTACATTGTAGTATTAGGACCTTATCACATTGGGATTCTTAAGACTCTTTGGCAGAGAAGGCTAACAATCTTGTAAAACTATAACTCCACAGTCCTAAGCCTTGATGTTCTATTGCCCACCTTGTCCTTGGACATGATTGCTTTTGAGTTCAGTAAAACTATAAGTAAAACTATAAGTCACTGCAGTTAATGTGATATCAAACTGCATTAGAGTGTAGGTGCACCCCCAGTCTCTTCAAAGTGAAATATATTTATTGTATTTTGGTTTTTGAACATTATATGAAGACAGAGCAGCTAGTAGTGCTTCATAAGATCTCCTTACCAACATGATCATGCCAACTGACAGCAATTGCTCCGTATGATCGTTACCAGATGAGGAACTCATCACATGCAGGCTGTGGGTTTCCATTCAGGGTGTTTGTGGTGATTATAGGCTAAAATTTAGACAGATCCTGTGGTAGAGTGTTGCACACAAGCAGCTCACCACATTGAATCTGTTGCCAAACGGAGCAACCTAAAGAAGTCTCAGGATAGTAACTGCAGCGTATCTAGTTCAAATTTTACAAGAAGCTCATACCATCTCAAGAAGAGACCTGAGAAGAACTCCCTTGGAGGCCAAGTTCCCTGAAATGGCTATAGTGAATCATGAGGCAGTAAAGAGAAAAGTTATACTTCTGAATCTGAAATTACCGTTAGCACTTTAATTTACACCATACCACAACACGACTTAATTTACACAAAACCACTTATAAGTTTTCAGAATATTCCTGGGCAAATAATTTGTTGGGCAACAGTGGAAAGCTAAATTGTTACTCAACTGCTTTTAAAGTAATAGAAGGGTTTGTTCTTCCAGGGCTTCCATTAAAAGAAACGGTTAGCTTATTGAAATCTTTGATAATTGAGTTTCCTAAAAATGTAACAATGAATTAGAACAAGCAATCTGACAGACATTTATACCCAGGTCTGAATACTTCTTTTAGGAACACTTTAAGAGGGTTAATTTCTCCATCTTTTCTACATTACAGAAATTCAGTGATGTTTTATTGATTTTTGTTGTTGTTTGTATTTTCTGTGCTTGTTTTATCCTGAACTTGTTGGGCATGTCCCTTTGTAAGCCGCCCCAAGTCCCTTTGGGGAGATGGAGGCAGGGTATAAAAATAAAATTGTTGTTGTATTTTCTGAAGAATCCTTGCTCAGTTAAATCCTCGCTAGGACTCAGGGCACTTCTAGACATAAGTTAAACCCATGTCAAAGTGGGCTGAAAACCCCCTGTTTCTGCACAAGTTTAAGCCTGTTCTCTCCCCCCCCCCCAAAAAAACCCCAGGTTTCCCAGCAGGTTTTCTAGATGCCATCTTGGTAACTACCAGGATAAGATACAGCCACCCCCCCCCCCAAAGAATCCCCAAAATCTTAAAAAACTTACCAGGCCACCATTACAATGGTTCTTCCATTTTCCTGGTGCATAGAAATGATGTGTCGAAATCACTCCTTGGCCCTTCCTCCGGTCCTTCTACACTGCCATATAAAATCCAGATTTTCTGCTTTGACCCAACAGACAAGAGTTCCTTCTCCCATTCTGGACTTTCCACAGATATATAAACCCCATTTTCCTAGTTTCCAACTAACTTCACAATCTCTGAGGATGCTTGCCACAGGTGAAACATCAGGATAGAATGCTTCTAGGCAGGCATGTAGCCGGGGGGGGGGGGGGGGGGGGGGGGGCTTCAGCCCCCCCCCCCGAAATTCTCATGGTGGTCTGCGAAAAGGCCTTACTGGTACATTATTTAAACTGTTATGTTTATTCATATCATGATCTGATCACCATGCTCAATATATCTCATATGCATGGGGGTATTGGGGTAACGATACAAAAGGTTTGCTAGGGTAGACCCTCTTTCACTCAGACTCAGCCCCCCCCCCCAACCAAACTCAGCCCCCCCCCAATCAAAATCCTGGCTATGGGCCTGCTTCTAGAACATGGCCATACAGCCTGAAAAACATACAACAACCCAGAACACCAAGGCTTAGGACTGTGGAGTCAATTTGGATAGAGCATCTATTGCAGTGGGATACAGAGAGATTGATATTGCCAGTTCCTGAGTTATACATATATGACTTACCAAAAGGGTGTGATGCAACAGGATGTGAGAGGAAATCTACCTCTAGAAAGGATTCCCAGTTTAACCAGATTGTGCCATGTATTGTGCCTTTTGTTTAGGTGGAATCTTTCATCCTATAATATGGATCCATTGCTCCATGTCCTAGTCTCCAGAGCAGCAAAAAATAAAAAAAAAAAGAACAGAAAAGCTTGCTATAACTTCAGTGTGTAATTCATGGCATTGCCTTGCTTTCACTCCATCACAGAAAGGAAGCTGATTTAAAACCTTGGAAGTATAATACTCTTAAAATGAAAATATGCTAAAATTCTCCCATCCATATGTTTTGATCTGAAT